AGGCATTCAGGATCAAACGCTTCTTTGGGTGATCTCCAGACATAAACGCGTCCGGTGGTCTGAAATAAGGTGAAGGATGATTCATCGGACCATATTACCTGCTGCCACTGCTGTGGGGACCAGCCTTTGTGACCTCTACACCACTGACGGCGCTTGAAAGCATTGGTTGCTGTCACCAAGGGTTTACGAATTGCCACTCTCCCATAAATGTTCGCTGCATGAAGTTCTCTTTGAACAGTTCTTGTTGAAACGGGGTCCTGAAGATGACTGTTCATGTCTGATGTTATCTCGGATAACGATTGCTTGTGTTTTCGAGCTACTACGCGCTGCAAGACACGTCTATCCCTATCATCAAGCTTTGACTTTCGGCCACTGTTTTGCTTTGAAGACTTCGTCTTACCTTCTTTCATGTATGCTGTCATAACGGCTGATACAGTACTTCTTTCAAACCCCAAAAAGTTAGCTGTTTCTGTCACCGATGCTCCACTTAAACGCGCCCCAACAATCATCCCTCTTTGGAATTCAGACTGGTCAGACATTTTACCTTATAAAAGCTAGTTAGATAAACTCATGCAACACAGGTGACTAATGTTGAGAGACAGATAGCTTCCTCTTCACGCTCACTAGGTGGCAGACTTCTGTTGCAGGTGGCGCGGCTGTACTGCAGGTGTGAAATAAGTCACACTTTTTCACAGGTGTTCGTATTATTTTGTCATCCATATATATAATGAAGATAAAACAAAGGAAAATTATAGACATATGCAAAAGGGGGGGGGGCAATAATGAAAAAAATAACAAACAACTGATTTAAAAAAAAATTAAAAAAGGATGAATTTTTTAAAAAAAACCGGAAAATAAAAGATATAATCTCCTCATCAGACCACACGATTATATCCGCAAAAAAGAGTGCTTTCTGATATTGCATCAATATAGCCAAAGCAAAATATATTAATACAATAGTGTGAGGAGCACTCAAAAAATAGCCACGGATTTGCCCGAAATGGATTTGCACATGGAAAAATTATATAAATTGTCAAAGAAAAATAAATTTTAGTAGATAATTTTAACACGGATTTGCCCGAAATGGATTTGCACATGGAAAAATTATACTGAGGAATTAATCTTGCTTCGTAATCATGATGATAATATTAATTTCAATTTTTTGGATTTGGGTATTATAAAAGTTGAAAGTAGCTGCTTTGTTAATTTATGCGATAAAAGAAATTATTTTAATTTTAATATTAATTAACTAATTACTTGGAATTCTAATGTTTCTAGGAGCATCTATTTAAATACCACTTTTAATGAAATGTACAGAATTAAAAGAATTTGTAGTAATATTTAATTATCCAAAAAACAAATCGATAAACTCTTTCAAAATTTGATAAAAAACAATGGATACCCAACTAAAGTAATTAAATTTTACATAAAATCATTGGATTAATCGTATATTTTTGTGGATATATATTCACTAAACATTTTCTTTGTTAATTTGTATAATTTTTCCATCTGCAAATCCATTTCGGGCAAATCCGTGGTCAAAATTATTTACTAAAAAATTCCTTTACTAAAAAATTTCCTTTGTTAATTTATATAATTTTTCCATGTGCAAATCCATTTCGGGACAATCCGTGGCTAAAATTATCTACTAAAAAAAATTTTCTTTATTAATTTTTATAATTTTTTCATGTGCAAGTCCATTTCGGGCTAATCCGTGGGTAAAATTATTTACTAAAAATTTATTTATTAATTTATAAAATTTTTCCATGTGCAAGTCCATTTCGGGCAAATCCGTGGTTAGAATTTTCTACTAAAATAATTTTTCTTTGTTAATTATTATAATCTTTCCATGTGCAAATCCATTTCGGGAAAATCCGTGGGTAAAATTACTTACTAAAAATGTCTGTATTAATTTTTCCATGTGCAAATCCATTTCGAGCAAATCCGTGTTATAATTATCTACTACATTTTTTTTTCTTTATTAATTTATATAATTTTTCCATGTGCAAATCCATTTCGGGCAAATCCGTGGCTAAAATTATTTTCAAAACATGCAATTTATGTTTCTCTTTTCTATTTTATACTTTTTCTTAAATAAATATTTATTTACTAATATTATTCATGGTCAACTATTTAAATTATCCAGCATAATATTACCTTGCGCAAATCCATTTCGGGCCCATCCTTGGTAACTAACAAATGAATGCACAGCATAGCAAATCACTTCAGCAATGCAGTAAGAACGGCACTTTAAAATCCTCTATTTACACTCAATTTGCGCTTTTGTTTTCATAATTTGTAATCTGGCAATCTTGTTGCGAAAATATTTTTAAATCATTCTTGAAAAATTTCCCGTTCATGTAAGTACATCTGATTTCGCTACTCGCTTTATAGTATTTGTTTTGTTCTATACTGTTTTTTCTTTTTATTTCATTTTATTTTCTGTTTTTATGTGTTATTTTTACTTATTGTGTTCTATTTTATTTGTTGTAATTTTTGTAAAAAAAAAATTTTTTGAGTGCTCCTCACACTATTGTATTAATATATTTTGCTTTGGCTATATTGATGCAATATCAGAAAGCACTCTTTTTTGCNATCCTCCCTCGTTCAAACTCCGTAAGTTGCTTGAATTTCTTATTCTTCCGTCGTGGAGGCATACTCAGGTCTCACTAAACGTTTGCCACTAACAAATAATCATAGACTATTTTCAACGTCCCGCTACAGCACTTTATTTATACGCTTTCAGCATCAATTCAGAGGGCGCTGCGCGCGCCACGCACGCGCGATGGCTCTGAAACTTTATTAATTTGCATAATATCCTATAATTGACATTTGCTGCGAATTTCATTTGATTCTGATGATTCCTTCATGGTGTTGCATTTTCTACAAACAGCAGTTTATATATATATATATTGTACAAATGATGAAATTGTCTTTTATTCACTGGCTGCTGTCAATAAGAGGGTGGGTGACCACTTTGATTAACCTAAGTAGGGATCGAGGGTGCACGGTATGAACTGTTCTACCGTAAAGTGCTCGACTTCGCTCGCAGGTCGTCGGGCTTCCAAAATAGGGGTGCCATCCCCCCTGCAGAGGATAAAAATTGCAATGGCATGTCTTCGGATAATCCTCAGGGATGTTTCCCTGACAGTCGCCTATAGCCCATTGTGCAGCTATAGTGCGACGTAAATAAAGTACCCACTTACCTAATCGTATTTCTTACAAAAATGCAAAACACAATCTATAATTCAATTATTATAAAACTTTTCTAAAAAATGGTTGATATCGTGTAACTTCTTTAACAAACATTTATTTTAAAACTAGCGAAAATTGATTTAAGAACTTGCTCGTTTCTTTCCTAACAATAATGGGTATGGTAATTGGGATGTTGTTCATCGAACATTCTCTCCTTCTATTTCATATGTTTTACCCATTACTCACTTAAACATTTTTACTTTACTTTAACTTTCATTTAAATCCTTTAAGTTTATATCTCTATGTAAGCTATAAGCCAAACGGAAATGTCCGTTAAGGACGTTTCTGTAAATTCTCTTCAGAAATTTCTGAAGTTTATCTCTAAATCCATGAGTGATTTATCTTTGATGTAAATAGACAGAGAGAATAGATTACAATTTAAATGTTTGAGTGAAACTATGAACGGATGTCACTTGATAATGCTTATGAATTGCTGCGCACTTTATAAATAATAGAACAAGATAATTTATTTTAAAACTTTACTTGGTGAAAAATCTGCAATGAAATTTTTCGATCTTTATTTAACAAGTAATGTAAAAGCCTACTTAGATCAACGGAAAAAAATTCTCTATTAAGTTATAAAATAAGTTCAGACAAGTATAAATTGGGTGACCTCACGTGCTTCATGTTCTTTATTGAATTTATCTGAAACAGCGAATATAAAATATTTAAATGTGAGCCATAAACTATTTTTTTTGTTCAAATGATCACTGGTGTTATCTTAAAAATATTTGAAAAGTAAAATTTAAAACAAAGACTTAACCAATCAGAAAATTTCGTTTTTCGCTCATCCCTATTTCATGAGTGAATTCTATTACATCGCCTAATTTAACCATTGATACGTGAACAAGTCGCGTAAAAACAATAAAGCTGATAATTAAGATTTTACGGCCATGACAACACTTTAGAATCAATATGCAGCAGGACATACTGAATCTCAGTTTAGTTTCCTACACTGGATCCCTGAGGGGTATCAAACAACCCTTTTACTTCGGGAAAGTGTCACAATTTCTCCCGTTGGAATGTCGTGAAGAGGTTCTATCAAGTCGGTTAACACGAAAATGGTTTTAAGTAAAAAGCATGTCATATGTTCCTTTTGAAAATATGGTTGAAAGATCCGTGATTTAAAATAAACTTTCTTTTTTTCTGTTGAAGAAACTTGTTTTGCTTAAAAGAATTTTAACGGAGTCGAACGTGTTTCGCTGAAAATGGAAAGTAAGGTTCGTTACCCATGTCAAAATTCTTGACGGTTTTCAATTGATGGTGCAGCATGATATAATCATCAATAATTCGATCATGAACCATTTTATTTTTTGATGAAAAGCAACAAAATGTAGGAATTCGGACTGATTTATGATGGTCCAACATAAGAATTGCAACTTGTTTTGATGGTTTGTTCATGTTCTAGAGTTAGTCATGTTGTAGAGTCTAGATCGAAGGGAATACCGTACCTGCAACCTGTCATCGAGCACATCTTGATATTCTACATATTGGTGACCCGGGGAATTACAACTGTGGACCGAAGAATTATAGTAGTAACCCAATCAAGTACAGTGGATGATTTTATCTACTAAAGTAGTGTGCTAAAACAACTTTCATGGATATTTTAAAGTAAGTGAGATTTTGGTTTTCTTTCTTGACCGATAGTAATGAGTCATGTGAAGATTGAAGTTCGTCGTGTTAGCCTTTTTTAATTAAGTAAAGTGTTTTAACTTAAGTAAATGTAGGGCTAATCTAGTAATTTAATAATTGACTAATCTGGTAATTTAATTTTATCTATAGTAATTGTAGACATTTATAATATCTGTTGAGGAAAAGGACGCTACAAATTTAGAACTTTCTCGTATTGCTTTTAAAGCACCTGTTTTTTGGGAAGCAGAGCCTGAGCCTTTGTTCCACCAGTTGGAATTTGGTATCACTTTAGTATGTATCATGTTAATTTGAGTTAAAATTAGAAAACACATAGTTAAAATTAAATTTAATTATTAAAATTTTCTTGATTACAATTTGACATATCAATAAGTAATACAAAGGGGGAAAGATTCTAGGATTCACTCACCAGGTGTGTCATCTCGAAACCAGGTCACCTTTTCTCAGCTATGCAAACTTTCTACTGATTTCTAAATGGTTGCAACCCCTACAGCAAGAGGAAACTTTGCCAAACTCACCCTTTGGCTCACTTTATTGATGTTTTTGGCGCACTTACTATTTTGGGACTCCTTGCTCTGCATCATTTGTAACAGCAGGAATAACAGCTGATGAAACTAAATACCATTGTGTAGTT